GGTCCTCCTTCCTCCCTTTTTTGAAGATAGGAACCACGTTGGCCCTCTTCCAGTCCTCTGGCACCACACCAGAGCACCACGAGTGTTCATACAGCCGTGCCAGGGGTCCCACAATGACCTCAGCTACTTTCCTCAGCACTGGGGTAGAGATCGTCCGGACCAGCTGATTTCAGTACATCCAGTCCCTCCAGAAATTCCCTGACTAGATCCTCCCTGAACCTTGGCCTGGGTGTACCTACCCTGGGGCCTGAGGAGGGCCCAGTGGGGGGGCTGATCCAGTCCCTGCTCAGAAAAACGGAGGCAAAGAAGTTGTTAAATAGGTTAGCTTTGTCATCTGGTGCGATGACCAAATTTCCTAGCGTGTCCTGCAGGGGCCCCACATTACCCGTTACCTTCTTTTTGCCCCCTATGTATTTAAAAAAGGACTTCTTGTTGTCCTTGATCCGGGAAGCTAGTCCCAGTCCCATCTCCGCCCTGGCTTTCCTGATTGCCCCCCTGCATCCCTGAGCAACCGCGGTGTAGTCGTCCCTGGTGATGGCCCCTCCCTGCCATTGGGTGTGCGCCTCCCTTTTAGCTAGGAGACATTCCCAGATACTTTTGGTGAGCCATGGGGGCTTTTGCGCCCTCCTGCTCCCTTTGATCCGTGTTGGGATTACCTCCTTTTGGGCTTGGAGGATCATCTCCTTGAGGAGCGACCACTCTCCTTGGACACCTGGCTCCCCTCCCCTCTGGGACCTCAGTGCTTCCCCGACTATTCTCCTTAGCTCACTGAAGTCCAATTAAGACACAGCTGTGTATTTAACAGTTTTATAATATAATATATAAATATGATACCAGCCAATTTATCCATTATAAATTGGCCTGGAGGGGTGGGGGGGGAACAAAAAGATGTTTGTTTGGATGATCTTTACTGCCATCCAGTGGAACCAGAAAAAACTGAAATGAGTGGAAAATTGAAATAACATGTATATCTGTGAAATGGAAAAGTGACTCAAATGTAAGAAATGGGGATTATTTTAAAACACCAGTCAGACACCTATGGGAGACTGTGATCTACCGATCCTGAAATACAAGGTACAATGGTTAGCTCATTTCTGCCCATGCAGAGAGGTGCACACTGGAGCGAGCAGCCCCAATTACCTTTTTTTCCATATCTGCTTTGCCTTGCTCAGCCTGTAATGCCTTTCTCATGCCAAAGGCAACGCTGCTCTCGTACAGGGTCTGGTAGGCAGCAATGGTCATTCGGATTTCATCTCGGACCCGATGCAGCAACATTCCCCGCTCTATGCAGTTAATGGTAACTTCACGGATAAGTTCATCTTTAAGCACAAAAGGGTGGAAGTGAAGATGAGAGGGGGAAACAGATGTGGGCATCAGGAAAAACAAAGACCTGAAGCAGCCCTCTGCCAAAGTTCCCATAAGAACTATAATGACATGGAGGCTTCTGAGGTCAGCGATTAGGCCTGACACTTCTTATTGATAAGAAATGAACAAATGATGGGTAATAATCAGAACTCTCCCTACTTCTGTGGCTGGTGCCTTTCCACAGTGTCCCATGCTGTGCTGTGGCAGCCAGAGGACTAGCACGGTGTCACTGAAACATTTAGCAAGCTGCCTGAATTCATCTTCTGTAAGTTACTGCAGCATCAGAGCGACGGGTCTGAATAAATCTTTTGCTACCAAGCAAATATGAAACAAACCCTGCTGATGCCCTGCTGCCACAGTAACGTCCTTTTAGAGTTTGCTTGTTCTAGCAGTACTTTAAGAAGAGGAAGTGCTGTTTTGGGAACAGGTTTGCGTGGCAGTGTGAGAGGCTGGCAAATGGTGCCGTTGGTAGGAGGGCATACCTGGCCCTGCATCCATTTTGCCTTTGCATTCTCTGCTGAGTCTTCAGAAAAATGGCTTGCTTGGGTGTTAATTGTGATAGGGACACATGCACACTTGGAACCAATCTGAGACCAACGGGTGACCCAACATGCAGTAGATGGTAATAACCTTCATTCCCAACTGACCAAGGCTGGACTACAGCCCATTACTGGGAGATCTCCATTTGCCATTCCCCTGTGCTCATCTACTTGGCCACCTCCAGTGTTTTGCTCTCTCCCACTGGCCTTTGGCTCGCACTTCTAGGGATTGGGAGGAGTTCACTCACCAAAGCACTGTGAGTAGAGCTCCCTGCGGACGGGGCAGATCCCGGTTTCTCGAGCCTGTCTTTGCCGCAGCTTGAGGTCCAGCTCTTCCTGCAGATGCAACACGTCCATCCGAGTGCTGGGCGTACACGACACTTGCTGGATCCAGAGCTGATTGTCTTCCACCCATTCTCTGCACCATAAAAGCAGCACGGGTTTGTTTATTAGATATTCATCGCCTTCTTTATAGCCCCGTCACCAGTAAAAGCACTGGCCGCTACCAGCAGCAGCTCAGGACCTGCCTGAAGGGATTTAATCAAACAGATCTCTGAGCAAATGGGAACCGCTCATTTCACAGCTGTGTTGTTCACCCAGGGATGTGTCCTGCTCAGGGCAGTAGCCAGAGTAGGGCTCTGTTGCAAAGTTCAAAGGAATGATCCAGTGAGAAATGCTTCATGCAGCCGATACTGGCGAGGCTGCAGAAATGACTGGCCACGAGCTTGGTCACGTGCCAGGACCAGCACGAGCGCCGGGCAGTGACCCCCCATGGCCCCGACCCCCCCAGCGCCCGGCCCAGCCCCCGCCCCTCGGGTCCTCACCGCGGGGGCAGGATCG